CATCATGATGTCAATGTGGAGACTTAAACTTTTTCTTCGCTAGAGTACAGACTGTGAAGAGCTGGACAGCTGCGGTTAGGTAGACAGGATTCTATTTGGGATCCTGGCGATGGGCAGGTATATTTTAGAAAAGGAAAGGTCTGGTAATAGGATTAGGATGTGGGGAAAGCAGACAATATATTCTATACAAGCCACAACTCTCAAGAATAATGTGATACGCAGATCACAACCCTCCTAGAGTGTGGTAAACGCAAGAATGGTCTCCATCCTAGTGAACCCGGAAAAGTTTTCCGATTAATAAAAGATGAAAGTTATCCACTGAGCTTATCTGAGAATGTAGATGCAATTAAGCATTTGTTAGCAGGCTAACTGTCTTCCTATCTTCCAGGCGTGCTTTTTTCTTTATAGCTGCTGAATTGCTATTAAAATCCTGGCCATTAAGTCTTATCTTAGATTCTGTTTGCAGCAGACACTATCAGAGTGCTGATATTGCCAAGTCCAAGTTTAACAGAAGGGAGCAATGCCAGCTGTGTCCTTTGGACCACACAGACCAGAAATGCAGCTCACATGTAGAGCATGTGCAAAAAAATAATAATAATAGGAAAAAACAGTACCTGAAATTCTTATAATTTCCTTTTTTTAAAAATTTCATTTCGAAAAAGTATAAACTTCCTTTCTTTTATAGCCTGAGTTGAGTTACCAGTCCTGCGGTGGAGAAGAATCCTCATAGATACATGACTGGCAACTTGTCCAGGATCTAGTCTGGGACAATTTACGAGCATCTAAGCATCTGTAACTGATGTTTATATTTCCATATAAAAATCCTCTAATGCCTTATATTTTGCATTCCTTCAATAGTAACTTAAGGCACACTCTGTAATGTCAGGGATAATTCAATTTAACAAACAAGGCTAGGGCAAGTCAAATGTAATAGGCAGGGAGTAAGGCGAGTGAACTCATGCAAACCATCTCCCTTTTTACAGGGATACCTTCCAGGATAGGTCATCTTCCAAGGAGTATCTCCAAATGACACCATTGTCCTGACAACCCATGAAACACACAATGGCTGTCACCTGCATGGGCGATGTCATACCCACGGGCGACCCCCTGCTGTGGCACCACCTCCCACGTTGGCAGGCCTCCAAGTTCTCTCTTTCTCCCGTCTTCAAGAGATTTCAATTTGCAAATTTTTTTAGAGTATGCATGGCCTATCACTTCACAGTGTCACTGAAAGATAACATGTCAGTGATTACTCAGCGCTGACATTTTATTATTGGGTATTAAAATCCCATCCGAAATCCCCAGCCCGATGAGCTAAAAATGAGGTTTGAAGATATAACACCTGGCAAACCTGATCCGCAGTCATTCCAATGGCATTTTGTCAGCTGGGAACTCGTTATCAACCTGACATGATTTCAATCTGTGGCCTTTTTATGAAGCGGGATCTGTGTGCTGTCTGCGAAGATAATCAGGCTTGGCCACGCTTCAGCGAGACCCCCAATTTCACTTACTCTCACGAGAGTCCTCTGGTATGCAAACTACTGCTAAAGCAATTAACATGCACCAAACGATTAAGACTAGAAATTTTGCATTCAGAGGACTGTCATTTTCACCTCTTAAAACGTGAATTCTCGCCAGATGTTAAGATGCCTTTTCTGTTTTGCACAATGTCACCTCGCGATCAGAGGGAGCCACCCCCTGAAAGCCATTCTATCTCCCAAGCTCCGTGACAGTGCTCGGACCGCAAGGCTCTGCTCCGGGGGCTGTTGAAGGGAGGGAGGCATCAGGGAATGGACCGGGGCCTCTTCGGACTTTTCAAGGCTTCTTGGAGGCTGGGCCCGGGCTGTAAACGTTCCAAATGGACATGAATGAAGTTTGAGCAGAGAACAGCAGGAGGGAAAAGTGGAAATAAATAGGAGATTCGTTCCCTTCTATGGCTTCAGGAGAAATGTCCATGGATGGAAAGAAAGCGGAAGAGCTCCCCCTACTCATGCCTGAAAACGTGCCCCACACTCTCACATGTAACAGGAGAACACGGTCAGCAACTTGTCCCAGGTCTAGTCTGTAACTCCGACTGTAACCGAATTGACAGGCATCTACGATGTTATTCATGAGAATAAAAACTGAGGCCCAGAGATGTCCGGGTAATTTCCTATGGTGACAGTCAGTAAGTAGGGATCTCCTAGGTAGGTCCCTTCTAACACCCTCAGCTACTGCTCCCAGTGTGGAAAGAGAAACACTAGTGGAACATGTCCCATTTAGGGCCAAGGAAGCCCCCTTGCACAGGCGGAAAACTCTCTTTGACATTATTATTAAGCAACACCTTATTACTATTAAAAGCATATCAAGCGACGTTTATCTTTAAATAACTGCATTCCACTTAAAGCTTTAAAAATAAACCAACTAAAATATAAGGAAAGTTTACTCTGGTTAAGAAATGAAGTCAGAGGAGAAGGAGGCAAGAAAACAAAGCTGTCTCTCAGTCTTGTAATATTTGACTCTTCTTTCAACGGGGTTTTGCTGAAGAAAGCGGCGCGCGCAGGAGACAGGACTGCCGTGTGCGGAGGAAGTTCCCGACAGAAAGATCTGAAGCAGATCGACGCCAATGGAGTTCTCCGTGTGCTGTGAGACCCGGCAGAGCGCTGGGGGAGCATGCTCCTGAGTGATGTGATGCAAGTAAGACTTTGTTGTCCCAGCACAACCTCAGCCTCTCTGGTCTGCAAACAGAGTGGTCTTAGGGCTCCAGGTCCCCAATAGCAAAGGGGCAGCAGAGTCCGGCTCCGCCATCAGTGTGCCCCGCGCCAAGGCAGGTGCGCTGTGTGGGGAAACCAGCCCCAGCTCCACCACGGCTCTGAAGGGAGAGGGCAGGTGTGATGCCCGCAAAAGTCTCCTCACATCATAGGCAGAGGTGGAGAAACTCACCTTGGGGTTTATGAGAAACCCCAAAACGTTACTGGGATAGCCTATTTCCTATGTTAACATGGCCAAGCCACAGTCCCAAATAGGTGCTCAAACACTGATTTAGATGTTGCTGTGAAAGTATTTTTTAGATGAGATTTACATTTAAATCAGTAGAGTTTGTGTAAAGTCATTGCCCTCCAAAATGTGGGTGGGCCTCGTCTAATCAGTTGAAGGCCTTAAGAACAAAGACTGAGGTTTCCTGAGGAAGGAATTCAGACACTAAAGTGTAACATAGGAATCCTGCCTGAGTTTCCAGCCTGCCAGCTTGCACTACAGATTTTGAACTTACCAGTTCTCACTGCATGAGCCAATTTCTTTAAAAAATAAATATATATTTTTATATATTGACTATGTGCATATACAATCTCCTGAGTGTTTAGAAAACTATAGAATTAAAAGTCTAGATGAAAGAGGCTTTGCACACTCTTCAATGCTTGGTTGTAGTTCCCACTAATTTCTCTCACTGGTTCATGAGTAGGGGGTGGGCCCCTTGCACAGTTTTGGGGCTATGGGACCAGGACACCAGGTTGGGATCCGGATTCAGCCCTCTACTGAGTGTGTGGCCACAGGCACAGACTGAACATGGGTACAAAGCTTTTTGCACCTCGGTGTAAGTACGGCTCCACCACATCTCCCTTACTGAGGGCCACTGAAGCACCCAGCTCACAACCTAGAAAGATTAATACTCATGAAATGGTGGCTTGCGCTATTATGGCAATACAAAAGTGACTCATAAAACACACTTCTTCCTACCTGCAAGTGGGAGAGAGACACATACAATGATTAAAAATATAATGTTTTAAAGATCAGCCCTGGCTGGTGTGGCTCAGTGGATTGAGTCCCGGACTGCGAACCAAAGAGTCGCCGGTTCAATTCCCAGTCAGGACATATGCCTGGATTGTGGGCCAGGTCCCCTGTAGGGGGCACACAAGAGACAACCACACACTGATGTTTCTCTCCCTCTCTAAAAGTAACTAAATCAAATCTTTTTTTAAATAGAAAGAAAGAAAGAAAGAAAGAAAGAAAGAAAGAAAGAAAGAAAGAAAGAAAGAAAGAAAGAAAGAAAGAAAGAAAGAAAGAAAGAAAGAAAGATCGGGCAAGTGATATTGCGGGTGACGGCTGGAACCCAGGGGAAGGAAAGGTGGTTCAGCCCCCGGAAGAGAATTTGCAGGTGACATCGGGTGACGGGGAGCGGGCGTCCATGAGAGTACACTACATGAGCAGGACCAGGAGCCGAGCGAGGCCAGGGAATGGGCATCGTGCTGCCGGCTCAGGGACGCCTGTGGAGGATCGTGCTGGTGAGTGTCTAACCAGCAAGCCCCGCCGAACAGGGGATGTGGGCAGAAGGGAAGCAGAGCAAAGAAAGAGTGGGGCTGCACCATTTTCAGCCCACCCCGGGAGGTGGTGGAGACAGATTTTGACTAGTGCCCACTCTGACTCCTGAGTATCAAAACTCCCACAATTAAAAAAAATTTTTTTAAAGCAGTAAAATGCAGAAGACATTTGGAAGATAAATGATGGAGCTTTTGAACATTTACACAGGGAATCGCAGTTCCTATAACATACTGTGCACAGAGTATGAATTTTAATAGGTGATAAAATTCTGAATGGATAGCATTCTGTTTTCCATGTGCATTGAAATAAGAAAAACATATTCCATTAACCTAAGAGCACAATATTAAAAGGTGGGCAATACAATCAAAGTTGTGGAATGACCTTCAATAAATTGTTTAAAAAATAATTAAGCTGCTATATGATTGGATCTGTTTTTAATTTTCTTCATTTTGCTTACTTGTATTTTCTTATTTTTCTACGATCGTGAACTGCCCATAAAAAGGGGAAAGGGTATTTTTAAATCCCTGCCAAGAGTAAGCCTAAGGAAAAAAGTGAGTCGTAAATGAGCGGAGGCCACTTACGTTTACAAGTAAACACATTCAGCAGGCCACCATTTGCTCAGAAGCAGAAGAGGTAGACGTCTTTGGGGGTGGGGACCGAAGGACGGACGGGGGTGAGGGGAGGGGGTGATGGCCAGTACCCACCTGGGTCACAGAGGCACTTGTAGCTGGTGCCCACGCTGCGGCAGGTGCCATGAGCGCAGGGGCTGAGCGCGCAGAAGTCGACCAGCTGGGCACAGGTGGGGCCCGTGAAGGCCGCGCTGCAGCTGCAGCTGAAACGCACGCCTTCCGCGTAGCAGGTCCCGTTGTTCTGGCAGGGTGACGAGGCGCAGGGGTCCACCTTTTCTTCGCAGGCAGAGCCGAAGTATCCTGCCAGGAAACGCAGACCGAGAGGGCAGGTTAAAATCAAACCATGTTTACACATAATAATTAATAAACTGGGTCTGAAGTGCTTCTCCTTGTTGTAAATTGATTAGCCAATTAATCCATGAATAATTTGCAGGCATGTACAAAGGCGGGTAAGGCTGGTTTTCTTAGTTTTGGTAACTAGAGGTTAAAATATTAAGTCCTGTGCTTCCGGGTTTTTTTTTTTAATATAAAATATATGACTGCTGAGATGTATAGGCATGCAGAGACATGGACCGACCCATTTACATATGCATACATATGTATGTGAGTGTCTGCGCATAGGTTAGAAAAAATACATTAATGGTGATCACCTCTAGGAAGGTGGGGTTGGGTGTCAGTAGAGGGTTGTCACCTCTTATTTTATACACATTGGTGGGGAAAGATATTCCTTCCTTTGCTTATAAAGGTATAATCCTGATTCTGAATTTAAAAAATTAAACCCACATAAAATAGCATGCAATAAAAAAATCTTTCTCCCACCAAGAAAAGAAAACATTTTTCTTTTGTTCCCCATTCCCTCTTTAAAAACAGCCACTGTTGGCAGTTCTGGGATATACACTTATTTTAAAGTTGGTTATTGCAATAGATACCCTGTGGTATATCCATACAGTAGAATACTACTCGGCAATTGGAAGGAACTAAGCTGTGACACATGACAAGACATAAATCAACATCAAAAAATTATGCTAGCTGAAAGAAGCCAGCTATAAACCAATGCATAGCATATAAAACTTCATTTACAAGAAATGTCCAGAAAAAGCAAATCTAAAAATATAGAAAGTAAATTAGTGTTTGCCTGGGGCCAGGGTGGGAAGCGAGGTTGACTTCAAGGGCCATGATGAGATTTTGGGGCTGATATAAATGTTCTAATATTACATTGAGGTGATGCTTGCACAGCTCTATGTATTTATTAAAATGTATTGAATTGTACTCTTAAAATGAATGAGATTTATGATATGTAAATCATACCTCAATGAAGGTTTTACTTTTTTTTTAACTTTAAATGTGTTTATTGTATAGGTGATTTTTATTTTGTGTTTCAGCATTTCTCAATTTAAACAATGTTACATATATAATGTGTATGGATCTGTAGGTCCATGCAGGTAGTTATTACACTTTAGGTAAAGTCTACTTTTCTTTTAACGTTGTAAGAGAAGTTTGAAAATTAAATGAAGATTATTCAAATTTTAGAAACAAGAGTTAAATAATCATATTCATATATGGTTTTTATTCCAATGTTCTATTTTGCTGTTCTTCTCTACATTTCAGTTTATATTTATCCATCTTCACACAGAACTAGCAATACTGGCAGTTTTTGTAGTTATTGTTAAGAATATAGTGGATATATAATACAAAAGTTGTTCTCACACTTAACTGAAGCATCATCCAAAAATTGGCACAACTTGTTCTTTTTCTGTACAGAAATAGAAAATTCAAAAAATATCTAATCTATTCAGCATTTTATGAAGTTTCTGGTAGTTTTTAAATGTAAGAAATCATACTAAGAGTTTAGCACACCATCAATTTTAATTACACTTGAATTCTCCATAGAGTCGCCTGGCACCCAAGAGTGGAATGTAACACAGTTCTATCCTTCCTGAGATGTATCCCATTTCAGTTTGAAAGGGAGATACATAAACATACCATTACTACCATATGACAAATTGAGCAACCAACACAAGTCCTGACCCTTATAATCTACTACTACCTCACCCCGAAAACAAGGCTGAAATTATTTTCATCATAAAATCTGGACCCAAAGGCAACTGGGTTTGAATAACATTTCTCCCCACAAACCTGTGGGGCCCTGGGAAAGGACTTACCCTGATCTGTTTGTGCATTCATCTCATGGGGACAGTAATGCCTACAACGTGTGGTTGTTATGAAGCATAAACGCAAATGTCTATGGCAAGCATTTGGCACCGTGACTGGCAGGTAGCAGCTGAATTATGGGATTCCCAGATTTCCAGGCCAGGGTACAATGTGGTTGGTGCCATTACCAACTGCCATGGAGAACACTCGAGGAGAGTCCCAGGGGGAGGTTATGAGTTCAGCTTTGTGCACGCTGAGTTGAGGTGCTTTGGTGGCTCAGCAGTCAGTTGACTCTACAGATCCAGGGCTCAGGAGAGAGATCCGAACTAGAGGACGTGGACTGGGACCCACGCATATGCACAGGAACTGAATTCATAGGTCTAGATGCTAGCACTTGAAGCAAGGGAGCAGAGTGAGAAGGAAGTTCAAGGCTGCCACTCTGGACAACTGTGGCATTTGGGAGCACAAGGAAGAAGAGGCAGCCCAGAGCGCGTCTCACGGAGAGACCCCTTGCCTGCGGTCTGCATTTCGCTGTGGCTTTCCCTCTTGGGGCCCCTGCCGCACACCTCTGAGCACCTCTGAAACCTGCGTCTGACTTGCTGAAGACCAGGGGACATGGCTTCTTTGTCTTTGTATCCCTGCCACCTGGCACAGAGCCTGGGAACTGGTAGGCATTTGATAAGAGACAGGTGGACAGACAGACAGACGGGCCAGTAGATACTGGATGAATAGATAAGTTTTAAGACAGACGGGAAGGAAACCAGCAGAAATGAGGGTGTCACTGAAAACAATGAAAGAGAGAATGTCCAAATAGGAGTTGTCAAAAAAGTGTCACCAACCCCTGCCTAGAAGCTGTACGAACAAGCCCAGGCTAGCCGGCTGGCAGAGGCGAGACCACGGCGGGCAAACCCGGTCCAGCTGAGGCTGCCCTACCGATCGGTCTGGCCGGTGGCCAGCTGAGCCCAGCCTGCATTGCCAACCCACAAGGCTTAGGAGCTAAAGAAATGGTGGGTGCTTTAACTCCTCACTTTCGGGGTTGTTTGCTATTTAGCAAAAGCTAGTAGATACAATGTAATAGGAAATACAGGACTGGATCTAAATGGGAATGTAGAACAGAGGGAGACTTTTGTTTTGCTCAGCTTGATGAAAAAAGACTTTACACAGTATAATTTATTATATACCAGAAGAAAATTTAAAAGAGGTGATTAATAAATGTTTGTTGAACTGAGTATCAAAAGAGTCACTGCTGTTGAATCAGAAATCCTGCATTTTGTTATAATTAGCAATTATTACCAATTCAAGGAAATATAAGAATGCAAATAATATTTTATATTTTCAAAGAACCCTAGTGTATCTCATATTAAACAATAGCATTGGAGGCCGAAAGTTTTTGTGATAGACTCTATTAAGCCATATGTTAACCAGAGTCAGGACTAAGCCCTGGGGCATGCAGTCTAAGCCTCCAGCTTTGGGGACAGCAGAAGGAGAAGACAAACACATCCATTGTGTTGGTGCTGACAGGCTCTTTAACACAGTGAGTGTGGGGGGAAAGATGTAAGTTATTTTGAAATAACGTACATTGGCTGTAGGTAAGGGAGACACGAAAAGATGAAGCTGGGGTACGTTAGGTGTGTGGTCCAAGAAAGAAGTGTTTGCTGCTTTGGGACTGGCCGTGGGCGACAGTCCAGAAAGTTTACTGGACTGGTCAATCCCTGCGTAAGGGTCTCTTCCGGTCAATGGTTTTGAAAATGCCTCTTGCATGAATGCAAACAAAAGTGATTATGGCGGCAAAGCAAGAGGATTGAAAAACAAGATTTAATATTCTTGGGTCCAGCCACATTCATAGACACATTCAAACTCCAAGACACAAAGAGCTCAATAGAGAAAAATAAGTGGAATACTGCTTTGTGAAAGACTGTAATGTAAGTAATAAAAATAACAATAGCAGTGTTTCTGCTATTTAACAATAGTAGTGTTTCTGCAGTGTTTAACATGTTTCTGACATGACTAAATGATTGATTAATTTAACCATGCTGGAGGCATAATGTATAGTCCTAACTAGAAGCTACCTAATTGAATTTATAATCCCACTTGAAGGGTAGAAAATAAAAAAACTCTTCGATAGTTAACCAAAAGGTGCAGACAGAATAATAAAGATAAGGTTATTTCTTGTTTGGAATAGTTTATTTCAAGTTGTACAAACCTCATATGATGGACATCAGGATATAGTAAAAAGAAAACAAAATAGCTCCAGAGAGAAACTCAAACACATGGAAGGAAGGCCAGCAGCGAAGAGGCTTAAAAATAACTTATTGCAATGAGGGGATGTTTAGAAAAGGATGAAATTAGAGGGTTAAAATGGCAAATAAAACAGAACTACAAAAGAAATCTCTAAGGAATGAGGGGCTAATGCAAAAAAAAACAAAACAAAACCTGTAATTTACTTCGTTGACTGGTTGCTTTAAGTTTTGTATTTGAGCCAATATTTAGATGAGTATGCCTGCTAAATGTTTATTCTGTAAATGAAAAAGAAATCAACATCCCTTGAGATGTGCACATTATGGAAATCAGATATTGAAGACCAAAAGAAAACATTTCTGGAAGATTTTAAATGACAAGACAATGAAGTCACTCTATTGAGAAAGCTATCTAAATGTCCGAAGTTTCTACAAGGTTGATATGGGGAAATATGGAATAAAGCAATACGGACATTTTTGCTGACTCTGTAAAGATTGTTTATATATAAGACATATATATGTGGGCACTTAAAACTTAACTCATGATTTCACTCTCCTGGCAAACAGTTCGAGCCAGAAACTTGGAAATCACACCTGATTGTTTCCTCTCCCTTAACCCCCATATCTAACCAATCAGGAGATATTAACAGATTCTATTTCCAAAACACTTTGTGAAGCCTAATGTCTTGTATCATCTCTGATGCCACCAGCCTAGTTGAAGCCACAATTTTCTCTTCCCTGGGCAGGCTTCCTGTTCTATTTTACCCGTACAACCAATCTCCCAAATAACAATGAAAATGATTTTTTTAACATGGAAATATTATCGTCACTTCTAATCGCTCCTAGAATGAAACTGGAGCCCCTTCCATGGGCCCATGTCCTGCGGCCGTGGCTTAGCTGACCAGTCTGGCC